AACATCTTTCTTTGGTGTCAGTTCTAGAAGGTGTTGTAAATCTTCATAAAACTGGTCAATTTCAACTTCTTCAGCATTGGTGGTTGGTGCCTAAACCTGGATTACTGTGATGTTGAAAGGTCTGCCTTGGATTCATATTGAAATCTTTCTATCATTTTTGAGATTATATCCCAGTACAGCTTTTCCCACTCTTTTGTTGACTATGAGGGCTACTCCATTTCTTCTATGGGATTTTTTGCCCACAATAGTAGATATGATAATTGTCTGAATTGAATTCGCCCACTCCCATCCATTTTAGTTCACTGGCGCCCAGCATGTCAATGTTTATTCTTGCTCGTCTGAATTGAATTCACCCATTCCTGTCCATTTTAGTTCACTGACACCCAGGATGTCAATGTTTATTCTTGCCATCTCCTGTTTGACCACATCCAGCTTACCAAGGTTCATAGATCTTACATTCCAGGTTCCTATGCAGTATTTTTCTTTGCAGCATTGGACTTTCCTTTCACTTCCAGGCGCATCCGCGTCTGAGCGTCCTTTCGGCTTTGGCCCAACCACTTCATTAGCTCTGGAGCTACTTGTACTTGTCCTCCGCTCTTCCTCAGTAGCATGTTCCTTCTGACCGCTTGCCACTGCCTGCCTGGATCTAGTCAAGTCAGAACTCTCCACTATGACCTGTCCCGTCTTGAGTGTCCCTGCACGGCATAGCCTATAGCTTCTCTGAATTACTCAAGCCCCTCCACCACGACAAGGCAGCAATCCAGAGGTCTAGACGACAAGGCAGCAATCCATGAAGGAGGTCTAGAAAATTACCACCTCAATATGGATTTTTGGAATTTATTTTATCCACAGCTTTGGCTGAGGACACTTTCTTGATTGGCTCTTCAGAGAAAACATTGAAAATACTATATTTTTCTTTCTTTTAAGTGATGCAGTATGTGACCAATAGTCTACCAGAGTCTTTATTATATTTTTCTTTCTTTTAAGTGATGCAGCATGTGACCAATAGTCTACCAGAACAGAAATTTCACTTCCCCTACCCCACTACTAAGGAGCAGAGGAAATATTCAATTTGCTGATATCCTGAAATGGCTAATTTGTTAAGCCATTTCATGATATTGGAAGGACCTGGACTTGAAATTCAATATGCCACTTGGATGACCCAGTATATTTTTCTTTCTTTTAAGTGATGCAGCATGTGACCAATAGTCTACCAGAACAGAAATTTCACTTCCCCTACCCCACTACTAAGGAGCAGAGGAAATATTCAATTTGCTGATATCCTGAAATGGCTAATTTGTTAAGCCATTTCATGATATTGGAAGGACCTGGACTTGAAATTCAATATGCCACTTGGATGACCCAGTGCATATCTGCGTCTACAACAAGAAATCTCCTCCCTAAGTGTGAATGCCAGTATTGGAATTATTTATTCAAATTTGCAACTAAAAAACAGCAAAATGCTAGAATGAGCAACTGGAGTGTGGACGAGTCCCATGAGATCTGGAGATTGGCTGGGGTTCTGGAATTTGTCTGGGGGATTGTGCTCCCAGAGCCCTTTTTCTGGTTAGAAAGCACAGATGTCACCTGAACAACAGGAAGGACAAAGCAAAGGGATGGTTTTGAAAACACTTGGTGAGGGAGCAGCCATAGGTTTCCAACATTGGTGTAGCTAACTCTCTTACACTCTAGAAGATTCTAAAAAGCCTCACAAATTTACTTTTAAAAATCATCAGTAACAACAGTCTAACACTCTGAGGTAGTCCATTGACTTCTGATGTGTTTTGCTGACTGAGGACAAGTTCTCCCTATGCTAATTCACCAGCAGAAAATCTTAGTTAACCATCTGTTTTCATTGTTTCAAAGGAAAGTCTTGGAACAACATCCATTGTTGTTTTGCTTCCATAATGGGAAGATTTTGAAGATCTTCCCCCAAGAGAGGGAGCCAATCTGGGCACTCAACATCAAGCGAGGTATTCTCAGTGTTTTCCAGACATCTTTGGTGGCAGCAGTTACCAACAGGACTGTGCAAGAGGTAAGTAGTGTTTAGAATTCAAACATGGTTTTAGTCAGTAAATATTCTTGACCTGAACCCCAAAGATTTCCAGCTGCTAATAATAATAATAATATAATATAATAATATAATAATAATATAATTTATTGTCATTGTAAGTATATACACAGTATACCAGACAACGAAATAATGAGGGGCATTGATTATTTACTCTGGAGTTTGCATCAGATCTGGCATGGATAAAACCAAATTAAAAACTGGTGACTACACAACACAAAGCTAAGTGCAGGACACCTGATGAAAAATGTCTCTTTCATGGGGAATTGTCTTTTTAAAATTCAACTGGCAGGGATGGTTTAATTTTGCTCCTTGCTGGCATTGCTTTTCTCTGCTTTCTCCCCTATGTGCTGGTAAGGATGTCAGTTCCTATCAACCAAATGTCAGTTGTTTCCAAACAGTACAGTGGTGCCTCGCTTTACGATTGCCCCGCATTACGACGAATCCACTTAATGACGGTCTTTTTGCGATCGCAATTGCAATTGCAAAACGATGGTCTGAACGGAGGAATTTTGCTTTGTGATGATTGGTTCCCTGCTTCGGGAACCGATTCTTCACAAAATGACGTTTTTTTAACAGCTGATTGGCGGTTTCAAAATGGCCGCCGGGTGATTAAAATGGCTCCCCGCTGTGTTTAGGGACAGATTCCTTGCTATACAGGCAGCGAAAAAGGCCGCCATATGGAGGATCTTCGCTGGACAGTGAGTTTTTACCCCATTGGAACGCATTGAACAGATTTCAATGCGTTTCAATGGGGTTTTTATTTTCCCTTTACAATGTTTTCGCTTAACGGCGATTTTCCTGGGATGGATTATCATCGTTAAGCGAGGCACCACTGTATTTTAAAAAGGCTTTGAAGTCAGTGCTGAAATATAATATTGATAGGCCTCCTCAGGAAAAGAAAAATAGAAGAAAATTGCCAATTTGCACTTTGCCAAAAAAGTGCTGGTAGTTAATCCACAACTGGCATGAAAAACTTGGCAAGCTTGATGACTACAGCTATTTCACTCACAGAAACCAGGAGAGGCATATTTTGCAAAACTGCAGATCACAGGTGATCTAAGCATATCTTTCCCACTGTCACATTGAGCGTTCACAATACCTTCATTTTAACAACAGCAGGACTTGGCCACATTCTTGCTAGATACACTACTTTACATGTGAATGAGATGAAGTCCTGAAAGGAAAGAACTGTCCAGCATCAGGAGACCAAGGCTGGCTTCTTAGCTAATGCATGCATGCCATTAAATAATGGTGGAAGAATAATGGGCAGAATCAAATAAATTCACTATTGTCTTGCAGACACAATACCCTGTTTCCTGGTGCTTTCACAAGCAACAGTTCAATTTATTATTTCAATTGTTCAAATAAGAGTATCAAGGACATGCCTTTCTCTAAAATCCCTGTGTGTTGTTACCAATGGGAGAGAATGCTAGTACCAAAACAGCATAGTAGTCATTTTCCTAAAATTAATGTTGTCTATTTAGGCCTATAGCAGGTAGCTTTAGAGTAGAAAAGACATATTGCAATGCCCATGAGATCTCAAAGTGATCTATTCATTCCAACAGGGTCCCAAATCAAACCAATGGGTTTTGTGTGCTCCTTTCCAGATTTCAGCCTTTAACTTTAACTCCAAATTTTCATCCTTGTTTCCCTCAAAATACCACTACTTGGTGCTTTCCACCCAGCTTTTAAAAACTTTTTCCCATTCTAAGAGGCTGAAATGCTTATGCCAAGAAAGGCTTAATTCCTTGCAGGAAGAGCCTTGGAAGGTAAAATACAGTATTATTTTGGGTACCACCATTTTTCATTTGGCATTCAACACCACCGAACAACCCCAAGAACAACTCTAATATTAATTTTTGCCCTCAGGCTGAAAGCAGTCCCTTCAAAGGACAGGCCTTTTGACTAGAGCTCAGTAGCTCTCCTCTGTCCTTCCAGGGGCTCATGGTAGGAATATTGTCAACATTTTTGTACTGGCTGCATTGACTGTGGGGCACTTGGAGGTGCCCAAGTGCTGGGGGTTGTCTCAGTGGCTGCTGATGTTGGCTTATGGGTCACTGAGCCAGGTCCTGGGTTCAAAGATCTTGAGCTTTAGGGCCCCTTTGGCCTCTGGCCAAATTTCTACTCTGTGGACAGGACTGATTCCTCAGTCAACGTGTCTGAGTCACTGCTGAACAACTGAGTCCTCATAATTGCTCAAGTAGAGGGAGAGAATGGAGCCTATAAACAGATTTCCAAATGACTTGCAGAAGATCCTTAGCATGTAGTCCCAACTCCTGGCAACAAAAATAATAGCAAGAAAAAGAAGAACAGCAATTGCCAAAAGTCTTCCTGTGAAGTAAATTAAGTTACTGGAGATTCAAAAGAATACTGTGTGGAAAACCAAGAATAACTTCTTCTTCTTCTTCTTTTTTTTTTCTTTTCTCTTTTTAGCTTGCCTCTGGTATTGGCCTGTGCTCAGTATGTGAATTCTTAGTACAGGTCTTGTTGTCAAAAGCATAGCTATTTTGCACTTAGCTCTGGTAAATCTCAGGACATTAAAATGTTTACTATGATTACTATGGTAGCTGTGCTATACATATGCTGGTTTGTTTCCTTTAGCGTGTTGGTTGGGAATGTTCTAATGACAGCATTAACCTCATTCAATAGTTTCTTCTTCTTCTTCTTCTTCTTCTTCTTCTTCTTCTTCTTCTTCTTATTATTATTATT